TAGCGCCTACCACCCCCAGACGGATGACCAGACCAAGGTGGTGAACCGAAGTTTGGGAAACCTTTTGAGGTGTTTGGCATGAACGAAGCCGAAGCAGTGGGATTTGGCATTGCCTCAGGCAGAATTTGACTACAACAGATCAAAAAACAGAACCACAGGTTTAAGCCCATTTGAGATTGTTTATGGTCAGAACCCATCCGGGGTGCTGGACTTAGCCCCTATTCCACGTATAGGTCATTTCAGTCCTAAAGCAGATGAGATGGCAAAGTATCTTCGGGGTATCCATGAGCAGGTGAAACAGACCATTCATGAGAGCAATACCAAGTACAAGACTCGGGTCGACAATCATCGTCGTCAATACTTTTTGATGTTGGTGATTTTGTTTGGGCTGTATTAACTCGTGATCGTTTTTCTGTTGGTGAGTATAATAAGCTTAAGGATCGGAAGATTGGACCTTGTGAGGTCGTGCAGAAGATCAATGATAATGCTTACAGGTTGCGCATTCCAACCACTTGAAGACTTCTGATGTCTTTAATGTGAAGCACCTGAGTCATTGTTTTGTGGATTCTGATGACACTACTCTGAACTCGAGGACGAGTTCTTTCTAACCCGGGGTGACTGATGCAGGGGGATCCGAGACAGATGATGTTGAGCTGTCAGATTGCACCTTGATGGCGCTGAGATACCATGAATTGACAGATCAGCGCAAAGGCGGGAATAGATTGTGACATGTTCCTCATTAGGGTCGTTTTGAGTATGTTTCAGTCTTTTGGCCATAACTTTGGCTACATGTGTCAGAATCGCGCATAAGACCCCAATCCGGAAAGCTCTTTTCGACGCGCACACTCTCCACATGAGCTACGCTCCATGTAACCTTTTTTTCAACCTCAAATTCTGCCGTTTTCCCCTCCGAATCACTAGATTTAGATATTTTTTACTATTTATGATAATATTTCGATTGTCAATTAGGAAGTCAATTTAAATCCGATTTAAGCCGGATTTTTTTGGAGATTGCTTATTTTATTTCGAATTTCAATGTAGAGTGATTTTCGGATTTTGCTATTTTTGGCAAAATTCGAATAAAGACGATTTTTGGCTATAACAGTCCGGCTTGTGGACTGATTTTGGGGATGGTTTTAATTTTATAATATTTTATTAAACTCTAGATATTTTTTTTCTCTGGTTTTTTTGGACAAATTTTCTCATGTGAATCATCTGTTGGAGCGCTTGCAGGATAATCACTATTCTGTCTGGCTTCATATTCTCATATATAATAGGGTAAGGAGAAGTATAATAATAGGCTACACTCAACATCAGATTGAAAACAGCTTCCGTGAAAGACCTCTGACAGTCAAAATTATAAATTGCACAAACTTAATATAATAATTCATATCCAGACTTTAGAGATAATATTACTGTGAGTACCTTCTATGTAAATAATAGCTAAACGAATATACAAGAAAAAAAGATGAAACATAGGTGAGGGACCAATGAAAAAAGAAACATAGTAGAAGGAGAGCTCAGTACAATCCTCGCCCAGTCGAAGAAGTTTTTAGGGATTTCAAAGGAAGAAGAGCTGGCATGGTCAAAGCTCTCACCATAGGTTTCTTTTTTACTTCCTGTTTGTTTCCTCAGAAAGAAAACTCGAACTAGAAACCGAAAGCTACTGTTTTTTCCCCTTGCGAAACCCGTTTGAATTCTTGGAAGTTTCATTTTTTAATTCAGTTTGACAAATGAAAGTAAATGTTGTCTTGGATTTCACTCTGTTCTGCCGCTTTCTGTTATATTCAGTGTTTCCTTGTTCTTTTTTACTGGTCTTCTCTGTTTGGTTCTCGAGAAATTGTAAAAGGATTGCTATTTTATGCTAAGCACTTTCACTTTATAAGTTCTCTCATTGTTGCAGAAAAATTTAGCTGAAAAGAACTTAATTGTATGCTTGAATTTAGTGTTTCTTGTTTTGGTTATGTTGTTTATAATGATGGTTTTTGAGATTCAAGGGTTTGGTTCTGACGTGTTGCAGATGTTGAAGAATTTTATCAACAGTGTGATCCTGGTAAGGCTTGCTTTCCTTTTGATGATAATTTATTAGACCTAAATTTTTAATTCTACCTGGCTGTAATGTGTATAAAGTTAGTCAATCTCTCATAATGTGTAGTTCCGTGTGCTGTTACGAGATCGATGTGTATTAAGTTGACGATGGTTTGTTGTTTTACATCCATGTTCTGTTCATGAACTATGTTCTTTCATTTTGCAGAGAGAGAACCTGTGCTTGTATGGTTTCCCAAGTGAACAATGGGAAGTCAACTTACCTGCCGAAGAGGTCCCTCCGGAACTACCCGAGCCTGCCCTGGTATTAACTTTGCAAGGGATGGCATGCACGAAAAGGACTGGCTATCTTCAGTTGCTGTCCACAGCGATGCATGGCTACTTTCCGTTGCCTTCTATTTCAGTGCAAGATTTGGATTTGATAAAGCTGATAGGTAGGTTTAACTTGCTTGCATAGTTAATTCCAATGCATTGACGTATGGCCTGGTACCGGTCCTCCTATTGAATGGCCAGCTTTTGGAACCAAAGGATAAAATGGAAAAATGTTTAGGTGGATTTGATTGAATTATGTCTGAGCTTGATAAGCTCGTGATGGAAATCTTTCACGAATATTTATAGTATTCTGTTTGGTCACTGGATTATTAAACGCGATGCTAGTATAATGCCTCCTTTTATATAGGAAACGACATTTCAACATGATTAACGATCTTCCGACAATTTTTGAAGTTGTAATCGGCGCTGCCAAGAAACAAACAAAGGAGAAGTCATCGGTTTCAAATCATAGTAGCAACAAACCGAAATTCAACTCCAAAATGGTAAGAATGTTCTGTTCATAATTCGGTGTAATGTAATTGTAACGAATATGTAGATGGCAACTATCCATGCTTGTTTCAGCGACATTCATTTTCTATCATTTATACTAATTGAAGTTTACCTTTTTTAGCTTAAGCATTATGGCTGCTACTTTTTAATAATTGATTTTTTTTTTGCTGTTGATTTTGTTTGGAACAACGGGAACCTCGGGCAAAGCATTCAAAAGCATCAGAGCCAAAGGACGAGGAAGGGTTGGAAGACGAAGATGAAGACGAGCATGGAGAGACCTTGTGTGGGGCATGTGGCGAGAACTATGCGTCGGACGAGTTCTGGAATTGTTGTGATATGTGCGAGAAGTGGTTCCATGGGAAGTGTGTGAAGATCACACCAGCTAGAGCCGAGCACATTAAGCAGTACAAATGCCCGTCATGCAGCAACAAGAGAGCTCGCCCTTGATATCGTAAAAATGTACCCTTTCTCCCGCTCTTGCAGTATATTTGTATATCTATTTGTACTTTAATCTTGGTGCACTCATCTAGCTCTCTGTTGTAGCTTGTGTCTTTCCATGTATTGGAGTCAATAAAGGCTAATTCAATATTCTTGTCGACAGCTGAGCTCTAGCGGTTGGGTTCTTGTGGATCTCCTAATCATATGCGGTTGGTGGTCTGCCATAATCTGGGGATTATTACTTAATACCTGGGCTTAGATCCCATTGGCTTGCCTAAATGCTAACCAAAATGAACTTATTTCGATTGACTTAAACAACAAATATGTACATATATATATATATATATATATATATATATATATATATATATGCATAAACAAGGGTTTATCTATTAAATAAGCAAACCACTAGAAGACCAGACCCACTGTCCAGCAATACATTGTTTGCCATTCTCCCTTGTCGGGTCTTAGTTTCCTGCATTTAACTTCTCTTCGGCCCTTTATATAACCCCTTCTAAGTACCCCCATTCTCATTGCCTTTCAATGCCATTCTCTCTTTTTGTTTTGGCAAACCAGAAATGGAAAATGGAGAGAGGGTAAGCCATGGTGGAGAAGCAGGGCACATGCAAAAGCTATCAGACAAATACACTGCCTTTGCTTTTGCATGTGCCTTAGCTCTCCACCTTGGAAACTCTCCCTTTGCTAACCCCAACAATACTGCACAACATCCTTGCGGTTTGTTCGTTTCCTGACTCGGGCTTAGTGTTTATTTGTTACACAATTGTTTCGTGTTCGTTTTAATGTCATGTCGATTATGTTTTCACTAACAAATTTGACGGTGTCAATCCGACATTTGACACCAAAGCAGTACCAGCCACTCTGTCCAACAATATATTGTTTGCCATTCTATCTTGTCGGGCCTTTGCCAGCTTTTTATACACGGATAGCTACTTTCTTGAATTCGACTTCATTTCAACCTTTATAAAACCCCTTGTAAGTACTCCCATTCTCATCGTCTTTGAATGCCCTATATTTCCAAAATATATTTTCAATGTCCTACGTTCATAGGTGTTTTTATGAGCTTCATTGTTTCGGCAAACCTGAAATGAAAAAAAGAAGAGAGGGTCAGCCATGGTGGAGAAGCAGGGCACATGCAAAAGCTATCAGACAGATGCTGGCTTTTTTTATTTTGCATGTGCCTTGGCTCTCCACCTTAGAAACTCTCCTTTTGCTAGCCACATGACTGCATAACATCGCTGCAGTTGTTTCGTGACTCGTGTTTAGAGTTTATTCGTTACATATTTGTTCTGTGTTCGTTTTAATGTCACATCGGATATGTTCGCTTATAAATTTCTAACATCATGCATGCAGAACTCAAAATTTAAAATTTTAACTGTACATTTTTTGCAGGCTTGAATGTTAAAAAGTAAACAATCCGGATTGTGGTAAAGCTTCAATGAGTTCGTTTACATTCATAAGTTTGCTGACAAATCAAACCAGAACTTAAATACACGTTCCAAACTAAATTTGTTTTTACAAGCACTAGGTGACTAAACGTTGTAAAAGCATACTCTTTTATGGTGAATCGACTGTCAAGTCTTTGAATTTTGAACCTTTAATGCCATTTAAGCTTAAATGAGAAGTTCACAACGGATAGATTATTGCAAATTATGTTACTGAAATATACTTAAAACCAAATCAATAGCAGAAACCAAGAACTTGTAAAAGAAGCAAAGAAAAATCCCTATCTCAACCAAAGGTATTAGCTTCTCTTTCGGCTCGAACCAAACTCGCATAAACACCGTTGGCATGTGAAGATAAAAGCTTCTCATGGCTGCCATGTTCGACAACTGCGCCATCTTTGACAACAGCGATCATATTGGCTTCCCGGATCGTGGACAGCCGGTGTGCGATGATGATCGTGGTGGCACTCTGTGAAACCCTTCTAAGTGCATCCTGGATATGTTTCTCTGATTCCAAGTCCAGGGCACTGCTTGCTTCATCAAGAAGCAAAACCCTTGATTTCTTCAGTATGGCCCTTGCTATTGCTATCCTTTGTTTTTGACCACCCGATAACTGTACCCCGCTCTCCCCGACCTGTTTTGCAAGAAAAGGCGAGATTATTTGTCAGATAATTGAGCATATGGTGTTATTCGAACTTAATGTCGTCTACGTGTCTAAAACTGGTATGCTTTTAACTTGTATTCTAAGTTAGACAGTACCTGAGTTTCATAGCCTTCAGGGAGACTACTAATGAACTTGTGGATGTAAGCTTCCTTTGCAGCCGCTTCGATCTCACTCCACGAGCCATTCAGGTTCCCAAATGCGAAGTTTTCCCTTATACTTCCAGCAAACAAAGCAGGCTCTTGACCCACCATGGCTATTTGTTTTCTCAACCATTTCAAGTTGAGCTCCTTCAAATCTATGCCTCCCATCATTACTTTCCCTTCGATCGGATCATAAAACCTTTGTACCAACCATATCACTGTCGATTTCCCCGACCCGCTTCCGCCTACCAATGCCACTGTGCTACCACCCTTGACCTTTAAACAGAAGTCCCTCAACACAATCACTTGAGGCCTAGATGGATAAGCGAATGTCACCTTTTTCAATTCGATATCCAGTGGCTTCGACAATTCGACTTTTCTAACTTTATCTCGGAAGTTACCAATCAATGGCCTCCGATCGAGGATATCGAACACGGCAGGTATTGCTGTCGCGGCCCTGGTGGTGTCTGGTGCAAGGCCTGCTAGTTGTCCGACTGAAAACGAGCTTAACACAAGAATGAGAAAGATTTTATATACATCACCGAAACCCGTATGGCCTTGTTTCATAAGGTAGGCACCATACCAAAGTGTCAAAGTGTATGCACAATACATTGCACCTTGAGAGAAACCGAGTGTGAGGCCTAGAATTTGTGACCTTTTCACTGATTGTTTCCTAGGTTCGGATAAAGCTCTATCAAAGGACTTAACTATCTCTTCTTGTGAAGAAAATGTTGCCACTGTCCTTATATTCGAAATTGCACCGGAAGCGATGTTGCTAGCTTTGTCATATGCTTTATTATCTAACCTTGGTCCAATGTTTATAATCAAATTCAAGTAGCTTGCACCGAGAGTAAAAGGTGTAACGGCAGCAGCCACGATAGCTAATCTCCATTCAAGGTAAAACGAGACGCCAAGCCCCACTGCAGCTGCATTCACACCCATCAACAAGACTGAGTACTGATCCCCAAAGACCGATCGAAAGCTGAGAATCAATTGAGAGTCTTGAAACAAGGATTCCAGTGGATTTGTCCTCAAAATCGAACCAGCCAGGTTCTTGTTTAAGTATCGAACGAAATAAGAGGTCTCTCACCCTTAGTGTCAGCTTTGTTCCAGCCCAACCACAGAAACCTTGTTGTCCAGTCAAGGTAATTATAGAACCGAAGCCTAGGCCGACGAGAGCTAAGGCGAGCTTGTTAACTTCTTTCTTCAACTCTTTTGGAGTATCATCAAAGTAAGCTTGAAGAGCTATGCCTCTAAACAAGGGGAAAATGGAGAGAATAGCACCTGCATGGATACCGAAAAGAAAACCGAGTAAAAGCTTGACGAGCTCTGGTCTTTGTAGAGACCATATCTTCGAAATTTGATATTCTCTAGGCTTTTGCTTTTGTTTCATTTCCTCCTCTACTTGGTTAACTACTTGGATCGACTTCAAGTACTTCGACTGTGAAATATCATACGCAGACGGCGATCTCAATGTTTCATAGTCCGATTTCTCATTCTTGGAAAACTCAGTTCCCTTTTGAGCATGTGTCTCTTTTGGTTCAGGGTTTGATATTGCTTCAGAAGCAAGCTTGATAAGTTTATAATAGGCTCCTTCTCTTTGCATTAGCTGGTGATGGCTACCAGCCTCGGCAACCGATCCATTGTCGAGAATAACAATTGTGTCGGCATTTCTTACCGTTGCTAGCCTGTAAGCAATGACCACTGTTGTTCTTCCCTTAGAAATCTTGTCAATTGCTTGTTGGACAACTGCCTCGCCTTCAGCATCAGGGCACTGGTAGGCTCATCTAAGAGAAGGATTCTCGGATCTTTAATCAACGCACGAGCTATAGCGATTCTCTGCTTTTGACAACCTGATAATTGAGTTCCCTTTTCTCCCACCTGCAAAATCCATTTTTGCGGTAAGAAAATCAGTACATGCATGCACTTAAAAATTCATCGACGTTTGATGTACGGTTTCGGTTGTTGACCTGAGTATCATATCCTAGTGGAAGATCATAGATGAAACCATGAACATTGGCAGCAACACAAGCTGCAACAGCTTCTTTCTTGGTGGCATCGTCCTTTCCCATCATCACATTTTCCAATATCGTTGTGGCAAAGAGAATCGGCTCTTGTCCGACGATGCCAATTTGCCTTCTTAGCCACTTCACTTGCAGTGTCCTCAAATCATGGCCATCCAAGGTTATTGTTCCTACCGGTTAAAGGATCCAAACCATAAGAACTAAGACATCACATAGTTGAGCTCAATGAAATGATTCGATTGAGATGATTAATGAGCTTACCTTTTATGGGATCGTAGAACCTCTCGATGAGAGCAAAGATGGTAGACTTGCCACCTCCACTTGCTCCAACCAATGCAAGCGTCTTCGCTGATTGGATAACTAAATCGAGAGAACGGAGAATTGTAGTATCAGGACGAGATGGATAAGCAAAAGTTGCACCTTTAAACTCGATCTTTCCTCGAACACTTGACAACATCCTTCCTTCAGGATTATAAAGGTCTATCTCTGGAACCCTGTCTATAATATCAAACACTCGAGCAGCCGCTATGGTGCCTTGAGTGAATTGAGCAAAATATGTCAGTGATAATGCCAAGCCCCTGAAATAAAAAAAGATCAAACAACTTAGTGATTTTGTTTTGCAATCAGCATTAGAAGTTGCTGTCTAATGGAAGAGAGGTAGATACCTTCCCCCAACATTGACACCAAAGAAGCAAGCAATGGCTTCACCACCGGTGATCTCGTTTCGAGCAACCAAGATCGAACCATACCAAAAGGCTAACTCCCATGTTGAATATGTAACCAAATAAATGACCCCGATTCCGGCACCCTTGGCAAACCCAATCTTCGCACCAAGAGGTACCGATTTCGAAAATAATTCACCATATCTTGCTGCCAAATTTTCCTCAACAACAAAAGAAAATACAGTTCTAATCGAACCAATTGCTTGCTCTGCAATGGTACCTGCTTTCCTGTAAGAAACCTGTAGTGCCAGAATATGAACTGAAACACAATAACAAGTTGACACTGTAAAAATTTCCGGTAACATGTGTGATATTCGGTACCTTTTCCTTTGCCGTGAGACCGCCGTAAATTGCCTTGTAAGCGATGCCGCAAGACATCATTAGTGGGGTAACAGAAAAAACCACCAATGCCACTTTCCATGCTGCTATAAACCAGACTGTGTAACCGCAGTTGGCAGTGAAAGAAGCGTGAAAAGTTCGAACTTTTCGGGTTACCTTCTCTCCCATAACTTCCTGGATTTGAGCAGCATCACTTGAAATACCATGCATAATGTCACCGGTGAGAACTTCGGTGTCGAAAAAACTGATGTCTTGTCTCAAAACTGCTCTCAAGTACTTTGTTCTAATCCGTTGAGCCGAACGTTCCCCGACCAGCCTCCAGCAGGTGATTTCTGTCATTTATTGAATGAAAAACCATTTCTAATACTTACAGAAGATACAAAGGGAAGTGATAGTTCAAACAATCTGTCTTTCATTACCTAAGTACGCTCCAATCACCACTATTACTGCCAAGAGAGACATAAATTGGCATATCTGCAGATGCATAAGCAGGAGAAAAGACAACATAAGTGTTTCGAATGTCGACCGAAATTCAGGTATAAATAATATAAGAGTTCTTGTTTCAGTTTTCACCATCTGAACATCCTTCATCATCTGTGTTTTGTCACCTTTTGATTCCTTCGCAATCTTATTGACAAACTTACCAAACAGAAAAGAATACCAAGGAAGTGAACCCCCATTGATTAAGGCTCCCAAACAACCCAAAATCACAAGTACTATATCCCAGTTTGTTGAATACCTGAACAAACTCAACAAATCAACTGGCCTTGGTGGTTCTACATCCTCTTCCTCCTCTTCATCTTCGTTGAAATTCGGTGCCGGATCAAAGTTCATCGTACTTATGATCACCACCGAATTGATGGCTTGCTGATTGCAAGTTATGGTCAAGACCTTCCAACTTGTGTCTCATTTGAACACTGTGATGTGATAATCCATGACCGTGATTACTATGAACACCGAATCGATGACCATCAAGATTATTATGAACACTGTGATGCGATAATCCATGACCGTGACCATGCCCTGTAATACTATCTTCACTAAAATCCATTGAAAAGCTAAGGTCATCATATTGATGATTACCATGGGAATGATGGTTAGTTGATTTCCGACCATCGTGACAAGCAAGCTCATGCTGCATTACTAGATCGATGTCATTATTCAGCTTGTGTCTCATGTGATGGCATCTACCATGCTGATGGTGCCCCCCTAGCGAATCATCATCCCGATCAGCATCTGTATACGCCTCTGAAACCGAAGAACAATAGGAACCGGTGCCAGCATGAACATTACGATTGGTCCGTGACAGCCCTAATCGTCTCTCATCTTCTCGAGTGTCATAATCTATAGAGCTAAGCTCGTCAACATCGAGCAAAGGACTCCGACTGTTCCTACTGCTGCTTTCTCTAATAGTAGCCAGCCTCGAAATATCATGATTAGACCGACTATGATCTCGGAAAGGGAGATGCGACGAACTGTCATCGTCTCTAGTGACATAGCTTTGAAGCTCAAGCCTCCCTGAAAGCACAGCTCCGTAACCTGAAAACTCGTAGCTCGAATTCGCAAAGCTTCGAAGCCCTCCAGAAGTGCGAGAAAGATAAAATTCACTAGCGAGAGTCGGCCTAATGCCTGACTATTCGATGATGACACACTGTATGCTGCCCAAGGACTAAGGGTGGCACCCAAATTGCGGCAACCGGAAGGTTCAAACTGCCATGAAACTTCACTTTGCCATGACATATTGTTGATAAATTGGGCAAAGTAAACGAAAGAACATAAGAATTTTAACGAGGTTCGGTAATGTGCTTACGTCCTCGGTGCCTAGGCAACGGTAGAAAAATTTTATTCAATGATAATAGGTTTAGGTTACATATCTATTTATAATAGAAAACTCTGGTACATAAATACAAAATTAACTACCACTGTCTCGGAGACTGTTTCAACCCGTACAAAGATTTCTTCAATCTGCAAACTAAATGCTCGTTTCCAGGTTGAGTGAAACCTTCAGGTTGCCGCATGTAGATATGCTCCTCTAAATCACCATGCAAGAAAGCAGTTTTAACATCCATCTGCTCTAAATGCAAATCCCAACTGGCCACCAATGCAAGTACTGCTTGGATTGAAGTGTATGACCACAGGAGAAAAGATTTCATCATAATCAACTCCTTTCTACTGTGAAAAACCTTTTGCTACCAAATGAGCATTGAACTTTTCCCCCTCTTTTTCTGTTACTGCTGGTTTCTTCTTATACACTCATTTGCAACCAATCAGCTTTTTATCCTCAGGAAGGGGAACCAACTCCCATGTACGATTGTGATTCAAAGACTCCATCTCCTCAACCATGGCTGCCATCCACTTGTCGTTTTCCTTGCTAGTAACAGCTTCATGAAAAGTAACCGGATCATCACTGCTAACAATAAGTGTAAAAGAGACCAAGCTTCAAAACCCAATCTACTCGGAGGCTTTATATTCGTCCGTCTCACCTTGTCTCTGGCGAGACTATAATCCTGCAAATCATCCGTAGTGGAACCACCAGAAGTTGATTGAGACGTTTCTGGTTTCTCAACTGGAAACTGCTCGAAATCCACCACTGTCGTGTCTTTCTTCTGTTGCAACATGAATTGTTCATCAAAAACAACATCTCTACTGATCACAATTTTCTTCGCAACTGGATCCCAGAACTTGAATCCTTTGACACATTTCTTGTAACCCAGAAAAATGCACTCCTTCAATTTTGCATCAAGTTTGGATCTCTCATCAGCAGGTACATGCACATAAGCAGGACAACCAAAAATCGTAAGTTATCAAAACTAACATCATGACCAGTCCATACCTCTTCTGCAACTTTCCCAGCCAATGATGCCCTTGACGATCTGTTGATAAGATAACACGCCATGTTAACAGCCTCGACCCAGAAGTGTTTGGGAAGCCCCGCATTCAACCGCAAACATCTGGCTCTTTCATTCAACGACATGTTCATCCGTTCCGCAACACCATTCTGTTGTGGTGTCTTGCACACTGTAAAATGTCTCTTAATCCCGTGCTCCTTACAGAAGTGTAAGAACTGTGAATCTGTATACTCCGTACCATTGTCAGACCGCAAACACTTGATTTTTCGTCCTATTTGGTTTTCTACCTCTCTTTTCCACAGCTTGAACTTCTCAAAAACTTCAGATTTCTGTTTCAAAAAATACACCCAAACTTTCCGTGAAAAATCATCAATAAAAGTAACATAATACCTAGATCCACCCAAAGACGATGTCGTGGAAGGCCCCCATAAATCAGAATGCACATAATCAAGAATCCCTTGAGTTGTGTGCTTCGCAGTCTTGAAACGGACTTTAGTCTGTTTATCATGAACACAATACTTGCAAAAATCGAGCTTACAGCTTTTGACACCATGCAACAGATTTCTTTTGTGTAATTATGTCATACCACGTTCACTAAGATGAGCAAGACGCATATGCCACAGTTTTGTAGTATCATCACATGATTCAACAGAATGAACTCCACCTGCAACGGTACTCCCTAACAATCTATAAATATTTCCTGCAGTCATCTTTCCTTTCATCACAGTCAAAGAACCTTTAACAATCCGAATGGTTTCCCTATCCTCATCAGACTTAGGGATAAAACCATTTTTGTGCAAAGTGCCCAAAGAAATCAAATTCTTCTTCAAATCTGGGATATGTCGAACAACACTCAACGTCCGAACAGAGCCATCATACATCTTAATTCTGACATCACCAATACCAACAATATTGCAACATCGATCATCACCCAAATAAACAGAACCAGAATTAACCGACCTGTATGTCGAAAATCATTCCCTATTTGGTGTGATGTGATAAGAACATCCAGAATCAAGAATCCACGCATCCGTCAATTGAGTCGTTGAAATAGAAAGCATATCACCCTCACTGCAATCAGAATTGTCATCCTCGACCACGTTCACAGACTTGGATGAAACATCACGCTTCCCATCAGTCTGCTTTTTCAACTTCGGACAGTCTCGCTTCATATGTCCCGCCTCCTTGCACTTGTAACAGTGAATTGTCTTCTTATCCCTAGATTTGGATCTGGAATTCCGCTTGCCAGACCCTGCCTTCTCTGGCTTCCGTCCATGGTCTCGATTACCCTTTACATATAAGCTATCGGCTTGAGAGTTTTCCCCTGCATTCTGCTTCCGCTGGTTGTGAGCCAACAAGGCTGCAGTAATCTCCTCAACGTTGATAGTCTATTTCCCATATGTAAGAGTAGTCACCATGTGTTCGTAAGAGGGAGGCAACGAACACAACAAAATCATCGCTCTGTCTTCATCCTCAATTTTTACATCAAGCAGAGCCAAATCAGAAACGATTTGATTGAAGACATTCACGTGTTGCGCCAAATCATGATCGTCTTGCATCTTCAGCCCATATAGCCGTTGCTTTAGATACAGTTTTGTCGTTAAGAATTTGGACATAAACTGACTTTCCAACTTCCTCCAAATTTTGTCTGGAGACGATAGATGCATGACGTGATACATAACCTCGTCTGCCAAGCATAATCGTATGATTCATGCCGCTCGTTGTTGCAATTCTTCCCAATCTTCCTCCTCCATCGACGCCGGCTTTGTAGGTCGCAAAGCCTTCAGGATCTCCTGCTGCGCCAACAGATCTTTCACCCTCGTTTGCCATAATCCAAAGTTACCCAGACCATCGAATTTCGCAACTTCGAATTTTGCTCCTGACATCTGATACCAATTGTTGATAAATCGGGCAAAGTAAACGAAAGAACACAAGAATTTTAACGAGGTTCGGCAATGTGCTTACGTCCTCGGTGCCTAGGCGGCGCTAGAAAATTTTTATTCAATGATAATAGGTTTATGTTACATCTCTATTTATAATAGAAAACCTGATTCATAATTACAAAATTAACCCTGTACCGTACCGCGGGGGCGCAGCCCCCAACCCACATAATCGTAACCCCCTCTACAAGACTTTCTTTGTAAGGACAGTTGATGTTCGTTGCGTTCGCTTCGCTCACTCCGCTCCATCCCCTGTCCTCTTTACCGGTATATTTATGAGCCATACCTTACACATATCATCGTCGGTGGAAAAAGGCGTCGATGGAGGACGATGGCTGAGCCTCCTCGGAGTGGTGTGGGGCACTCCAGCAAATCTGCGTGTCGTGAAAGTAGTACTCGAGGCATAGCGTGAAGCCGGCGTGTGGTAGTTTAACGAAGAGGAGAAGTCGATTTCAAAAGAAGAATCAGCCATGGAAGAGATTGAAAGGTAAGGGTCTAACGAATTATTGGAAAAAAGAATCTGAAATTGAAGTGTTGAACAAAGGAGAATGAAGAGAAGAACACTACAGACAACATGAAACGGAACAAAGGTTCTAGGAAGAGCTGTCCGAAGACTCTTATATGCTCCTAGGAGTCAACGAACATTACTCATTCAGCTTTTCTTTTCATCGAACACCAAAACTCAGTCGTTGTGTGACTCACAAAAATCAATGGTGTTTCGTTAAGATCATGCGAGTCAAGAAAAACAGCCGATCAAAACTGGTTAAGTAATCAAGGATCAGAAAAATAACCCTTACCAGGCGAGGCCGGCATGCGATAAAAATTAAAACTTTATTTACTAAAAAAAATTAGTTTTAGATTTCTTATTCCTCCCTTCTAACTCTTTACATGAAAATTGAAAAATGCAATAGAAAATTGTCTTGTAGTATTCTGAAGATGTTTTTCTTATAGTTCTTTTTGGGACAATGACATTGAGTCCCGTTGAGAGTGACCTGACAGCTATAACGAAAGGTAAAACAACTTCTTTAGTCCTCTATGTTTACAGGTTTTATCATATGACCCTTACTCTTTAAAATTTTTAAAAATATTATCATTAATTGAACAATATAATTTTTAATCATATACATTTATAATTTTTTAAGAGTTAACTTAATAAAAATTATAAACATGTAAAACTAAGAAAATTCTTTTGCTTTTTTGCAATAGTTGTTAAGTTAGCAATTAACGGTGAAATTGAACACAAATTGATAGAGGATTAAGATTTTCAAATAAAAATAGTATAAAGATTTACTGTCATAAAATAAAAGTATTTCAAGTAAATTTCGAATTTCGAAATAGTTTAAGGACTTTTGATATATTTAAACCATAAGTAATTTCTCGTAGAACTGTGGGGACATTAAACTAATGCAAAAGCAACCAGGCTTCTCCATTTGTCATGGAAGTACATCGAATATAAACAAACAATGCATGGTTGACCAGACTAACTTTGTTTTGAATTTCATTATTATTAAAAGCAAAATCTCAAATTCTGAGAGGTGTAAAACATGTCCGGCCAAGGCCAATCTGAAGAAGATTTACTAAAAAATTCTTCACCATTGAAATTCCCTTTCCTATTGCCTTCACATGCTTGATTCTATCCTGCTGTCCCATCTGTTGAATGGCTTACAAAAATATACATTTGGATCATCTTTTCAATATCATGTTATGTTCCATCATGCATGCTGTAAGTCAGATTTAATTGTATTGGAAAACAGTAGGAAAATAGTACTTTTTTCTGTTACTCCCTATTGTCAATGACAGTGCTCAACTTTTGATATACATCATTAGGGCAAGAGCAAATGAAATGGACAAAAACAATGGCTACGGATTCTACCAAAATCAAAGCGACTTTAAGCCAACAGGCGATTTCTTGTTTGATACAAGATGTAACCGTATCTTGACACTACAGAAGATTTACAAATCCCATTTTCGATGAGATACTGTTCAGTATATCAAGCGAACACTTTAAGCCAAGCATTTGTACCTTATATGTGTTCCTTTATATCCTATTGTTTTAAGATGATTCCGAGCACTTTTCCTAGACTTTCCTCCGGTGAACTTCATCTTGGCTTCAAATCGTTACCTTTGATTCGGAATGTCGAAAGTGAAAAGAATGGATGCGGTGCTGCAAAATTACTGTTACAAATAGAAACCATGAATAATACAACACAAGAACAGACTAAAAGTTTCTTCTGAATATTCGTGAGACGAAGTCACCTTTTATGGAGCTTCCTGACATATGATCTTTCCTTAATTTGAAGTTGGCCGGTGGTGATGGAATGGAAGTTCGTAGCAATTGAACTGCAAGGGAACATCGGTGACTCTACTTTAATACCGGGTTCGTATATACAACAAAAGAAATGGAGATGTTGTAATGAAGAAAAGAAACATGCATCATCGAGTTCAATGAGCAAGCCAAAATTAAATTTAAAAATTTGGCACGCATGTATCACAAATTTTGGAAACTTATGTAGAATAATATTAAACCATGCATGCAATTGATAAGAATCCAAGTTAACTAACAGATATGGAAAAATAAAATAATCAATGAATATGATAAGTAAGAATAAGGTGATTAGCATGTAAGGGAAACTATAGGAGTTACCCTGATCATTGAACAACCCGCTTTCATTGAAGCCATCACCAGAAGGATGGCCTCGTGAAAATCCCATTCTCGACTTCCTCAAGTCCTCTGATGATCGATTAGCAGGATCTCTGTCATCATCTCCTTCAGAAGTAGTAGCTGAAATCCAGTCCACCAAACTGTGCCCCATGGCTTTTCCGTCCAAATTTCAACAACCTTTTGAACCCTTTTGTCACATCCTTACGTTACTGATTATGGGTTACATTACCATGAAAAGGTTTCTGAGCACTTCCCCATTTCTTCCTCATTTGAGCTGCATCCATCTCCGTTTGAGCGAGTGGGAATTCCATGATGCAGGGCACGGGAGCCATCCATCGAAGCATCAATATCTGAATTCTCGCAGGGATAAGAAAATGGATGATGCATTCGTGAATTCCACGACACGGGGCTTTCGACTGGTGAATCTTGCAAGGATGTTGCCGGATGGAACGTAGTGGTTACTGCAGCTCAGCAACTGATGCAGTGTCAACCTGAGATAGAGACCTCAAGAAATCACCAGTCTATGCTCCAGAATTATCTGGCTTGTCAAATTCCTGGCTCAATCTTGCCGTTCCGTTTTCCATGTCAGCAGAATCATCAACTGCTCTAGTTTCAAGTTCGTCCTCTTGATCTTCTTTTGCCACATTCATGGAATCCTCTGCTTCAAATGCTAGCTCGTCATCAGACTCATATTTTGGAATCACAGATGCCTCTGATGCTTTTAGCTTTGCAATATTTACTCCAGCAACAGGACCTATACCATTTAACCTCTGTTCCGTCTGCTCTGTATAAAATTTCAAAGGTGCCAAAACAATGCCATCCGAGTTTAAGGCAGACATATCAGAAAATTCTACAGGACCAGCAGTGCTTTTTCTAAGGGACTGAGACCGACAACGCTGGTCATCCTTGCCAAGTTCAAACTATTCATTGTTGTTACTCTTGCTCCGAGCAAGGTTTCTCACTTGAGAGTAGCTAGATGTCTTGATAGCTCCAGAAGAGGGCTTTGTATTTTCTTTTCTAAGATCAGAAAAGTTTGAAACTGAATGTGCAAGAGGATTTTCAGATTGCATTCTCTGCCTTCCAGAACCGGAGATCAAAACTTTGGCTTCAGAGCGTGGAATTGGAGCTGCTGTGGTAAGAAGACTGGATAAAGACACATTTCTACTTGGAAAATGCTTCTTATTGTTGGAGCTCCTAGAAGATCCATCGACATAAGATGCGTCATTATATGTTCTATCATGTTCACAGTACTTTCTGATCAGGAAACTTAAAAAGATCATCTTCACTTTGAATTGAACTAATTGGATGCTGCCAAATGCAGAACCTTATCAAAATTAATAATAAATAATTCAATCAAGAGTTCTCAAATTCCCCAAACTTAAAAAGGAAAAAGAACTAAAAACCAAAAGAAGGTTTAGTTCTACCAGTTATGAATTTTGGCATTCATTTCTCGAAAACCTAAATGCTATAGGAGATACCTGCTCCCTCTGTGACCGAAAATTGAATGAGCTCACTTTATCAGCTCGTCGACGAGCACTAGACCTAGAATCCAGTCTATCAACAGAACCACAAAATTTGTCCTTCATCTCAGCTCTACTTTGCTCAAGGCTATCCTGCATAGCCTTCAATTTGGCTTCCTTCTCAGCTCGTTCCGAACCCCTTTCTTCCCTCAGCTTTGCATCTCTCTTTTGCATGTACTTCTCATAAAATTTTCCTCTAGAATCATCTGAAAAGGTTATACTGGAGAAACTCCGCCTCAAACTATCAGAAATATCCCGGTTATCTACTATCTTTGTGGGAGTACAAAAGTTAGCCATATTACTCAAACTTCCCATTGGTTCGGAAATCAAGTTTTTGTTGGGCATCTGTATGGGAGATACATCTACTGTTGCTGGTTTTTTGTACTCCGAGCTTGGTTCCGGTTCAATCTGTGCATCAGCAGGCTTGCTTCTCCTTGCAGAACTGAATTGATCAGCCGGAACCCGAAGTTTGTGCTCTGCAAAAAGCTTTTCAAGTTCATTTGCCTTCATTTTTAACTCATCGTTCAGCTCCTGGTTTCCCCTTGACGGCCTTATCCTCTGAGTTTGAGCTACTGGCACCATCGGGGCACTTACTCTCTCTTCACTCTGAGGAACTGCTTTACCAACGACGGACTTGTTATTTGCATAAACAGAATCACCTTTGTCCTTCCTACCCTGCGATTTCTTGCTTGATTCAGAACCCACTGGAACCTGTTTCTTGAACTTCATGTCACGGACTTCGGAATTATCACCTTTGCCTATTTGCTTCTCAGATGATGCCAATTCTTGCAGAGGAGCAAACGGGTCACCTTCACTTCCTTTATACTGAACCTCCTTAGTTTTTAATCTGATACCACCTTCAAACTGCCCTGATAATGTCCAGGAGTGGCCTTGAGGCCTAAAATGCAATTGTGATACCGAGTGGTCTTTCCCTTGAGCCTCCACTCTTTTCTTTAATTCACCCTCAGGCGTATCATCCCCCACAGCATCTGCAAATACTAAATCGGGGAACTGAGAAGCAGGTTGGTTTTTAACCCCTTCAATCACAATCCTATCAGGAACAACCCCAGACTGAACCTCTGAACCTCCCCTCTCTCCTCTTAAAGAACCCTTAACCTTCCCCTGACAAACCACTTGATCACCCAAATCAGCCATCTCCGACTTGTCTGTAAAACGCTGATAATGGCCGTTCTGTGATCCTGATTGAGCTTTCCAATTCATTTGCCCCTTTAACCCTGCATCCCCTTCTTTTCCCAAAAGATTATCAGCTATTTGTGCTTGCACTTCACC